CCCTACCTTTTATGTTAAATTATTATATATACTAGGTCTGTGTATGGTCTTTATCCTTTTCTCATTGACCTGCTGTTACACTGTTTTAAATAATGTAGCTTTGTATTACCATCAGGACAATACTTTTTTTTTTTAATTTAATTTTTGTTTTATATTGGAGTATAGTTGATAGGATAAAACATTTTAGTATCTGGCAACAGTAGATCCTCATTATTCCTTTTTTCAAAATGTATTTGCCAATTTTTCAGCTTTTATTATTATTAATGCCAACCATTGCTGTTCCTATAACACAACTATAAATGGTTTATATTGTTACCTTATTATCCTACTGTTAGCTATCTAATTAAGTAGTAATATCTTTTCTTTTCACTAGAGATTAGGTAAGTTTTATAATTGCTGACAAGGTAATGCACTTCCTTTGATATCATTGTGATGCTATTAATATAGTAATATTCCCAAAAGATATTAAAGATTATTACTATGTAATATTTCTAGAAAGATAAAATAATTTTAAATGGCCTAAAATTCAGCATCAAAACCAAGAAGTTAATTCAGAGTGGCCCAAATGCCAGAATTCTGCATAGATCTGGCTACAGAATGTCACTACTCTGACAAAAAGGAAGCTATGAAAAAGGAAGCTATGAAATAGGTAACTAGCAATGACTTTTGAATATACTGCTGCCAAAGTCCCACCATAATAACTTTTTTATTGAAGTGAAGGAAATTTTTTTTTAACTTTATATGGCAAATGAAAAATCCAGAAAAACACAAAACCAGATAAATGTATTCCAAAAATTAACAGTCACTCTTGTTGCTTGAGCCAAAGATCCCTATAAGTCAATCTAAATAATTAATTTTCTTCTCAAAATCACTATTTCTTTGTTTTTAAGATGTTGGCAAATACTGAAAATTTCAGAAATATAGTAATATAATTTATAAATATGTCATCACAGAATACTAATAAATTTCTTGTAGAGAACATTTATTTAAGCTGCTTCCCCAAATTTAGAATACCCAGAAAACACAACTTCTGAAGATGTAGCAACATTTACATGGTCCGTTTTCAAAGTCTCGATATAAACAGCTCTCAGTTCTAATTTCAACTGGTTTGTCTTCAGTACATGATATTTGATGGCAAAGAATAAGATCTTTTAAGAGTTCTTGTGTAGTTTTGATCTGTTTGAAAGTGCTGAATTGAACAAATGCAGCCCACAGAATTAAAAATTTGAACACTTGAATGTACAGGATCACGTAAAACAGGGAATTCTGAAGTTTTCTGCCAGGGGTTTTTAAATGGAGAACTGTCTTTCATAGGACTTTTTTCTTTATTCTCTTTTGAGGTGGTGCCTCTGTCTTCCAAAGCCCGAGCAAGCATGTAACTAACTTTTCTTTGATGAGCCAAAGCTTCTTCTTTATCATTTAACTGCATGCACAGAAATTAAAAACGTACCAGTTAGTATATCACAGAGTACAGAGCTATAGTCAGAAGTATTTCATGAAAATGTTCAATCTCCAATCTAAGCCAGTCAGTATGAATAAATCAATTAGGTGTACACTGATTCCTAAGCATTATGCTACATGTTATTGAGGATTTTTTTTAAAGGAAAAATAGAAAACAGCGTTCTTTCTGTTGAAAAGATTTTTAAGTCATCTGAAGAGAAAGGAGAAAGAAGTATATATTTACATGGTATGTGTGTATATGTGTACATATGTATATATAATACCATGTACTTACCTCTGTGAAAGAATGTTGAAGTTATTTATATAAAAATTGTTTTTATATTTTTATATGCAAATAAACTTTAATACTTTTCTATAGATAAGTATGTCATATAACATGAGTTTCTTTGTATAGTCATCTATGAAATTGAGGATAACAGGACCGATTTCAGGGTTGTGGTAATGATTAAAGGATATAATGCATGAGGAAGTTCGTTGAACACTTTAAAAATTCCTGAATATATAAGTCTTGTCATGAACTGTATATGTAACTGCAGATGACGGAGATGCCTGGACTTAATTACAGGGAGCCTCCTCTTTTCAGAGGTGGAGCTTTAAAGCTGCACAGGAAGAACATGGATGGAAGAAGTGGGAAGCATGTGTGGGGTGTTTAAGGAGATGAAGATCATAATTCTGGGAAATGGTACCTGAAATGGAAACAGAGCATAAAAGTATAGAGCAATAAAGAGTTGAATTAATAGGAAGGAAAAAGATAAGCTCATCCACAGCCTCTAACAAAAAGCAAAGATACTAACCAAATCTATTAGCATCTTAAAGACTTCCTGAGGATCATGCTGGTCATCAATACTCTTAGAACTGTTTTCCAAAGGGAGCATACCCAACAGTTTCTGCCCTAAGGTCTTCTTACTCCTTTGTGATGGTAACCCTAAAATGGAACATGAAAATCCAGCTGAGACACAAAAAGACACTCACTGAAGTACTTCCAGAAAAAGAGGTAAGTGTGAACCTAGGCTAATTCATTCCTAAATCAGCCAGGACCTTGTCCTCTTCAGGTGACCTCTAGCACGAGTGACTCAGGCAGCACAGTGCAGTGGGAAAAGCAGACTTTAGAGCCAGGATTGCAAACACAGGTGAGAGGCCACAGTGTGAGAACCCAGAGCAGCGCCCTCCCACTCTCATTGCTCAGCAGCTGCCCGTGGAAGAATGCAGCCTGTGCTACCTGATAATCTCAGTCTTCCAAAGGAGCCAGCAATCCACATTTGCATGTGAAATCTCCCAGTGTAAAGGTTAGCCACCTGCCCACAATATTTGAGAACACTATTCACTCCCAACAAAACATGTCTGCAGACAGGTGGCCTCTGAACCATGCAAACTCTGCTTTAGAGCCAGAAAGACCTGGACTTGAATCCCCATTTAACCACTTCCTAATGGTATCATGTTGGACAAGTTCTCTGAGCTACATATCCTCACTTCCAGAATGAGAATAATAGTACCTATGCTCTATTGTTGGGTTGCTGTGCCATTAAATAATAGAGCACGGGCTGGGGGAAGGGAGTGGGCAGTTAGTATTGAATGGGGATACAGAGTTTGTTTGGGAAGATGAAAAAGTTCTGGAGATGGATGGTGGTGATGATTATAAAACAATGTGAATGGACTTCTTATCACTTAAAAATGGTTAAAATGGTAAGTTTTTTAAAAATGGATCTAAAGAACCTAGGAGCAGGACAGGAATAAAGATGCAGATGTAGAGAAGGGACCTGAGGATATGGGGAGGGGGAAGGGTAAAATGGGACAAAGTGAAAGAGAAGCATGGACATATATACACTACCAAATGTAAAATAGACAGCTAGTGGGAAGCAGCTGCATAGCACAGGGAGATCAGCTCGGTGCTTTGTGTCCACCTAGAGGGGTGGGATAGGGAGGGTGGGAGGGAGGGAGACGCAAGAGGGAGGGGATCTGGGGATGTATGTATCTGTACAGCTGATTCACTTTGTTATAAAGCAGAAACTAACACACCATTGTAAAGCAATTATACTCCAATAAAGATGTTAAAAAAAAATGTACCTACTTAAAAGAAAAAAGAACGGTAAGTTTTATGCATATTTTATCACAATTAAAAAAAAAAATTGTGAAAGCACCTAGCCCAGCTACTGACATAATGCTTAAAAGTCCACATCCTGCAACTATGTACACTGATATTCCTCTTCATCCATAGTAAGGATGCAATTTGTAGCAGAAAATACAAAATTTATAGGTTTATACAAAGAAAGTTTTCAAGAATGTTTTTAGAATGCTGTGCAAATGGTCTAATGATCAGATAAAGTCTAAAGGGACAATTCCCTTTCCACCCAATCCTGATAAACCACAGTGACTAGGCCTCACACCTGACATTTTTCAATAGCAGCTGTGGCAAAGGGGAAAAGCCAGGCAAGTTGACCAGCTCACCAGTTCTGAGAGTGGATGAATCTGTCTCTATTTTCAATCAAAAAAAAGGAAACATGCTTATAGGCTAACTCTCAGAACTTGTCTAAGCAGCCATATCAAGAAGAAAAGTTAACATAGTGTTAACCACAAATAAGAAAATGACCTGTAACAATCATCTTGTACCAGATTACTGAAGTATATTAAAATGAATCAAAGTCTTGTCACTAAGAAACAAAGAGCTACTAAACCTTTTATGGACTTGTAAAGGCTTTTCAGAGATAAACTAATTATTTTAAATTCTGCTTCCAGTCTCTCTCAGTACCTTAACGGAAAGCAAAGATTGGGAGCTATACCTCTCAAATCATATTTTCTATGGAGAAGTTCCTGAATTCTGTAAAAAGCTAAGAAAGGCAGGAATTCTGGAATATAAAATGAGTACAAGTGCTGAACTGAATATGAATCTACCGCTTCTATTCTTTCTCCCTACTCTTCTCTCTACCTTCCATCAAAACAAAATCAGATTTTCAAAGGGATTTGACTTCAGTTAACACAGAACACCTAGGCTGCCCTCTTAAGAGTATACCTTTGTAAATTTTGCAGTCCAGCTCCTATGAAGGGCCTCACTGAAGAGGTGCTTGAGGAAGATCACCTACACATTTGTTGTTCACGGCAGAACTAGATATTCTTAATGTTTTCCACCAATTCCTCAAAGGCTAAGTACATTGGACTATGTTAACTTATTTCCCTGGCAAATCACTTACCTTGACATTAAGGTTATACCTTTACCTTTTATCAAGGGATTATTATAGAAAATAGCCATATAAATACTAATTTTTTTTTTATTATAAGTGACTGTTGAGGACTTAGCCATTATATTTGCTCACTGGCCTCTGTAAGTCTCATATCAGAAAACACCTTTAGAAGTTAATTTCAGTACAGTGTGGAATGCCTGATTAAGAACGAACAAGAGTTGAACATTATTTCCCCCCTTTTGCCCTGACTTCCACCTGACTAAATACATAGCTTTTATGATCTGCTTTCACCTGCTTTCACAGTTGTTTACTGCTTCTATTTTTATTATCCCTATAAGCTGTTTCTTAACACTTCAGCAGAGATGGGTAAAGTTTAGGTAATGAAGCTAAAATTCACGACACTTGACCCATATACTAATGCTAATATGCACTGTTTGAAAAGAGATATTTCAAACAAAATTAGGTATCTACTATTAAAAGTTTCATTTTTAATACTATAAGAAGATTCTTATTGGTCCTAAATTCATCTGAAAATGAGAGATACTAGAACTAGGATTATGGATTTTGTCAAAATTTAGAAACAGGGTCATGTCAGAATTTGAATACTAAAAATTTACACTTCTTAATAAACTTAACTTTAATCTTTCTTGACTGATAAATGGTTTCAAATTGGAATTTTAAATTGAAGCAATATGAAGCCTACTGAATAATACTTACAAGTGAAAATTGAGATTGACCATTGAGAGAAACTAAAATTTCTAAAAAAATAACAGCTACTTTGTTTATATTGGACAGTCTACATACTTCAATGGCAATTTATTCTCTCATGCCATTTTTGTATATTTTGTTTACACTAATACCATAATGACTCCAAAATGACCATGAACTTTTGATAGGCTTGTGAACCAAAACCTAAACCTTAACTTCTGTTTCACTTTTTATAAGACTATTTTATTAATTTGTCCAATTTAAGATTATTTCTCTACTGTTCAATGTCTCCTTCCAAAGTCACACATTTCAATAAAGTTTAATTAGATAGATTTAATGTTGGGTTCCACTGTTGGGTTCTAGTGCTCTTATTATAAATTTTTTCCACAAAAAATCTCTACCAAAAAAGATTCTCCTGTTATTTTATGGTTTCATCTGCGTAAGTAACACCCAGTGACTCCTTTTTTCCCATGGTTGTTACTTTTTTAGATAAATCATAACTATATGTGAAATTTCAATTATATTCACCATATTAACTGCTTAATCAACTATGATTATAACCAAAAACAACTGAAATTACACCTGATTATTACCATTATAATTCATATTTACCATCATCTTTAAGGTGCTTCCAATTTGTCCCTTTTGTTGCTTTCTTACACATTTTATCCATTTGTGTCAATCTTAGTGCCTGGTCATTTTTCCTCATTAATTGTTGCTCAAATGCAATTCTGAATGCATCTGCCATTATGTAGGCTTCTTCTTTACTCTTCTGCAGAAGTTCCAACTGGTTTTGAAAGAAAGTTTGAGAGGTGTTAGAGGCAAAACCAGAACAATTCTTTCCTGAATGCTGAGTCAGATTAGCAAATGCAGTCTCCCTGCCTAGTAGGAGTTTTCTGCCTGCCCTTGATCTATTGCATCCGCTTAATCTAATTACTACGTGCCATTCTCTTCTGCAGTAGCTGCCCACTCTGAACTAGATTACCAGGAGTTTCTCTTGTGCCTATCAGTTCCCTGGTAATCCTACCCTTAGAGCTCATTATCCTAGATGGGCCTCGTGTATGTCCTGCCCAACAAGGAAGAAGGGAGGATGCCAATGGCTGCATTTCAATTCTGCCTTGGGCCATGCCAGAAAATACCACTGAAAACAATTATGAAAACCATCTTTCAGATACCTCTTACAGCTGACTCTGATCTTTGTAATCTTACGCTTTTCCTGATGAATTGCTAATGTTTAGCTGCTTGCTTTCATATATACTCTGAAGACTAAATTCCAAACCTTCAATAAAAACATTTTAAAAATTATGGTCCATACTGTATTTGTTGTGAAAGCCTAATTATAATGGCAGCTATCATTTGATTAAATGCCAGGCATGGCCCTGTGCTAAACATTATATGTCTACCGTGTTTATTTTTGTTTTGGTTTGGTTTGGTTTTTTTTGCGGTACGCGGGCCTCTCACCGTTGCAGCCTCTCCCGTTGCGGAGCACAGGCTCCGGACGCACAGGCCCAGCGGCCATGGCTCACGGGCCCAGCTGCTCCACGGCATGTGAGATCTTCCCAGACCAGGGCATGAACCCACGTCCCCTGCATCGGCAGGCGGACTCTCAACCACTGCGCCACCAGGGAAGCCCTACCGTGTTTATTTTTGACAACAACCCTCCAAACTAGTTATTAGCCTCCATTTAACATACGCGTCCAAAGCCACAAAGCTGGAAAATGATGGAGCTGAGATTCAAACCTAGGTCTGGCTGGCACAAAGGTTCCTTCCACTGTACCTCGCAGCTTTTCTAATAAGCTTCATGTTTCTCTCTCAGCTCATCGGTGTTGCACATCCTGGTGATTTTAAGCATGTGTGCCTTTTCCTCTAATATCTAGTAATTTTAGGGCCATGTATAGACAAGAAATATGAACTTAGGAAATATTAACTAAAACACAGGCAAACAACTTTTCATGGCTGCAATATCATGCCAAGTAATGTAAATAAAATCCAGTTTATATGTTAATGTTATCATTTAAAACTAAGAATAAGTTCCATAGCCAAAGACTACCAAATTAAGCTAATTATTACATATACTTCCATTTATTCTACTTTGTGTTAATGGAGAAGCAAAAGCAAAGCTGTTACTGTTTTGATAACACAATACCTCCTGTTTGACCTGAAGGAGCATTTTCCGAGTAGATGCTGCCAGTCTGGCACAGGTACAGGGGCTCCCTCTGGGACCGTGACAAAGGCAGGCTCCCAGGACTGCAAGCTTTAAATCCAAAAGAATTATCCTTTACTAAGTGTCACATTGCTCAGCCGTACACAAACACGGGGCACACACACAAACCCATGCACATTTTATTCAAGCACCTAATTCAAAGAAACTGCAAAGGAAAACAAAAATAGGAAGCTGAGACCATGATTTCAGGACCCAAGGGGAAATTTACAAATGAGGAGAGACTTATTACTTGGAACAAAAATACACATGAATTCTGCATTCCTTCTGCTCACGCTCCAAAACCTTTCACTTGGTACCAGTTTCCTATACTTCTGAGTTCTTGGCAGGAACTTGACCTAACGAAGTAAATATAAACATCCACAATATGGATTTCCTGTGACTGGGTTTGGCCTTGCCACCCAGTATTCATTACTGTCAGGTCCTGCCAGGAGAGATGCATGCTCAGAAATTAATGAGTGAATTCTAAGGAAAACAATCATCCTGCCACTCCTAAAAAAATGGTCTATGATCACATAATAAATTCTTAATATATTTCTTGGCTCATCCACTATTCTGGAATTGCATATTGCCCTGATCCTTCAAAACCTGTCTTTGGATCACAATGAAGAAACTAATCCATGTGGGTCACTCCTGGTTGACCACTGTAGCCAGAAGAAAAGTAAGAAATGTACTTTTTTTTTTTTTTTGCAGTACGCGGGCCTCACTGTTGTGGCCTCTCCCGTTGCGGAGCACAGGCTCCGGACGCGCAGGCTCAGCGGCCATGGCTCACAGGCCCAGCTGCTCCGCAGCACGTGGGATCTTCCCGGACCGGGACACGAACCCATGTCCCCTGCATCGCAGGCAGACTCTCAACCACTGCGCCACCAGGGAAGCCCTGTTGTACTTTTTTTAAAAAACCCATTTTGGCAACTAACCACAAGTTGCTTTCCCAAAATATTCCAAGAGCTTCCAGTTTAATGGAGGCGGTCTATGTAACATATTGTGCCATATGTTTTAAAGTTTTATGTGGAACATACTACAAAATTATTGTCTAAGCTTCCTGCTGCTATAAATTTCACATGGACTGGCTTAAAACAGAATCTTATTTTAGAGACTGTTTAGAGAGGAAGATTCCATGGTCTCTCTTAGTGTAAAGGCTATTTCAGAAAATTCCTTCTTGCATTAATGGTAACTGTGAAGTACACAGTGAGCTTTCAGTTGACTCAAGTGTACAAATGGCGGCTATGTGGCAGATTGGTTTCTTCCCTTTTCAACTTCCCGCTCCTGATAATTGGCCCTGCAAAAGCTGCCAAAAGCAACTTAAGACCTGGGTAGGGCCAGTATAAAAATGCAAGGTTTCTGCAAGGACCTCTGCATCCTAATTCTATGTCCTTACCGCAGTGCTCCTTCATCAGCTGGCTCAGGGCCCATGTTCTTGCCTGCCATAAAGTTACTTAGAGCCTACTCAAGATAATAATAAAGCACACTTTTTCTGACCTTTCTCTCCGTTCAGTTTCTTTTCTTTTTCTTTTTTTTTTTTGCTATTACACTAGTTTTCCACCCAGGCAGTAGAGCATGGTGATCAAAAGCACAGACTCTAAACTCTACCTGGGTGTAAATCCCAGCTCCACCACTTAGTAGCTTTGTGACTTTGGGCAAATCACTTAACCCTTCTGTGCCAAAATTACCTCATTTGTAAAATAGGCATTTAATTGTACTCACCTTATTTGGTAGTTGTGAGAATTAAATGTGTTAATCTATGTGAATCACTTAGAACAGTGTCTGGCACTTACTAAGGACTATGTATTTGCTATTATTAGTAGCAGTTGCTTTATCTGAAGTTCTATAATAAGTGAATGGCTACCCCTTCTCACTCCACTGGTATGCTTATTTCTCATGGGTCCCCAGGACACTTGTAAGACATTTCACACCTCAGCAAGCAATTAGCAATGCATCAGCAGATCTTTGTCCTGGACCTGGCTCAACCCCGGAGTGACTGCATCACTTTGGGAAAGTAACTACAACTATCTGAGCCTGAGTTTCCTGCTCTGTAAAATGGGGACAATACCTGCTTTGCAGCCCTCACAAGACCATTACGAAGATCAGATTAAAAAATGTGTGGGAAAGTACTCTGATGCTGTAAGCCTCTACCCAGGGAAGATACTACTAACATACTTTCTGCTAAAGCTGTAGAAAAAGGAAATAAAAGGGACAGGAAGTGGCTAGCACATCCCCTAATGTCCAAGAATGCTGTGCCTGAAAGGTATGGTACCAGCAAGGCTAAAGAGTGGACCTGGGCCTCTCTCACCCTCGGTCTCAAATTGCTAAGTATGGTTCTATCCTAGAAGTGGAGCTGACGGCGACAGAAAGAAAATGGAAGTGGAAAATTTCCCTCCTACTAAACTTTCATACCTGCTTACCTACCTCAAGACCTGAAACCTCTGTAAAGCCACTTGTGTCCTGGCATGTGTTTTCCTGAGCCATCTTCTGCTGTTTGATATCAAGCATGACAAGGGTCTCCAAATACTGTTGATTCAAAACTAGGAAGGGCCATGTAAGAAAGTGTTAGGAGGTCTAACCCCAGCCTCACCTAATCCAGTTAAACCAACACCACATACTTCTTCTAAGCAAGGGATATACAACTACCCACAAAATCTGTCTCCAACCAGAAAATTTGATAGAATAGTGGGTATCAAGTGAGTTAACACTAGATAAAATGTTATTTTTAATGTGGAAATAATTTTGCAACCGAAGTCTGGTCTTCATTTGCTCAAAGAAAATTTGTAGGATTTTCAAAAAGAGAACATACAAAGGCTAATTATCCACACTGTGAGACGATCAGATGATGAAATCTCATATATTGTATTAATGTCAACTCTACCAGCTCTCCAAACTCTATCAGACTTTTCTTTTTTTAGTTAAGAGTTTTCACAAGAGGCTCTCAATGCAAATATTTAGAACAAGAGGGGTCCTGCTATTTACTGGAAAGCAGAATAACAGTAACTTTCCCTCTCTTCTTATAGGGTGGAAGGATAGGGAGGAAGGGATAGGAGTAGTGGTTATGAGCAACTTCTGTCCTGGCACCAACCTAACATGGGGGAAATCACTATCTGCTCAAATTACTGGTGTGGAGAAGCATATCTGTGTGTGCCGTTCTCACCCAGGGGACTGCCACAGTTCACTTATTACACTATGTAAAGTGCCACTCTCGGGCCCACGACCTGACTGAGCACTCATTTTATGCCTTTCGAGCCACCACTTTAAAAGAGTTTCCGCTGGGAATTCCCTGGCAGTCCAGTGGTTAGGGCTCCAGGCTCTCACTGCCAGGGGCCCAGGTTTGATCCCTAGTCAGGGATCTAAGATCCCACATGCCACATGGTGCAGCCAAAACAATTTCTAAAAAGTTGGTACCACCTTAATACTCTTTCATTAACTTTTGTCATATAGTAACTCATTATATAAAAGATATGCTCTGTGTGTGTGTGTATATACACATACGTCTATATAATTTCAAGTCCTTAATGATATTTTGAAAAATATTTGTATTAGTGACAAAGTCACAGAAGACACTTTTATGAGAAAAAATTATGTTGAATAACTATACAATTCTATACTTTTCCTACTAGATTCCCAATAAACATACACCTACTCAGGTTCCTCAAACATCAGGTACTCTACCATTTTGTTTACACTGATTATAAAAACTAAAGGATAAAGGGAGAATCAGGAGAAATTGCTAAATGGGTATAAGGTTTTATTTTGTAGTCATGGAAACGTTTTAGAACTAAATGTTTATAGGCGTTATGTTCACTTTTAAATGGTTTAAGCTATATGAATTTCACCTCAAATTTTTTTTAAATTCGAAAGCCTAACTGATCAAACCCACAGCCAACATCGTTCTCAATGGTGAAAAACTGAAACCATTTCCTCTAAGATCAGGAACAAGACAAGGTTGCCCACTCTCACCACTATTATTCAACATAGTTTTGGAAGTTTTAGTCACAGCAATCAGAGAAGAAAAGGAAATAAAAGGAATACAAATGGGAAAAGAAGAATTAAAGCTGTCACTGTTTGCAGATGACATGATACTATACATAGAGAATCCTAAAGATGCCACCAGAAAACTACTAGAGCTAATCAATGAATTTGGTAAAGTAGCAGGATACAAAATTAATGCACAGAAATCTCTTGCATTCCTATACACTAATGATGAAAAATCTGAAAGAGAAATTAAGGAAAAACTCACGTTTACCACTGCAACAAAAAGAATAAAATACCCAGGAATAAACCTACCTAACGAGACAAAAGACCTGTATGCAGAAAACTATAAGACACTGATGAAAGAAATTAAAGATGATACAAACAGATGGAGAGATATACCATGTTCTTGGATTGGAAGAATCAACATTGTGAAAATGACTCTACTACCCAAAGCACTCTACAGATTCAATGCAATCCCTAACAAACTAACAATGGCATTTTTCACAGAACTAGAACAAAAAATTGCAGAATTTGTATGGAAACACAAAAGACCCCAAATAGCCAAAGCAATCTTAAGAAACAAAAACAGAGCTGGGGGAATTAGGCTCCCTGACTTCAGACTATACTACAAAGCTACAGTAATCAAGACAGTATGGTATTAGCACAAAAACAGAAATATAGATCAATGGAACAGGATAGAAAGCCCAGAGATAAACCCATGCACCTATGGTCACCTTATCTTTGATAAGGAGGCAATAGTATACAATGGAGAAAAGACAGCCTCTTCAATAAGTGGTGCTGGGAAAACTGGACAGCTACATGTAAAAGAATGAAATTAGAACACTTCCTAATACCATACACAAAAATAAACTCCAAATGGATTAAAGACCTAAATGTAAGGCCAGACACTATAAAACTCTTAGAGGAAAACAGGCAGAACACTCTGATGTAAATCACAGCAAGATCCTTTTTGACCCACCTCCTAGAAAAATGGAACTAAAAATAAACAAATGGGACCTAATGAAACTTAAAAGCTTTTGCACAGCAAAGGAAACCACAAACAAGACAAAAAGGCAACCCTCAGAATGGGAGAAATTATTTACAAACAAAGCAACTGACAAAGTATTAATCTCCAAAAAAGCAGCTCATGCAGCTCAATATCAAAAAAACAAACAACCTGGACTTCCCTGGTGACACAGTGGTTAAGAATCCGCCTGCCAATGCAGGGGACACGGGTTTGATCCCTGGGCCGGGAAGATCCCACATGCCATGGAGCAACTAAGCCCATGCACCACAACTACTGAGCCTGTGCTCTAGAGCCCATGAGCCACAACTACTGAGCCCACACGCCACAACTACTGAAGCCCAGGCGCCTAGAGCCCGTGCTCCGCAACAGAAGCCACTGCAAGTGAGAAGCCCACGACACAACGAAGACCCAACGCAGCCAAATTAATTAATTAATTAATTAATAATTAAAAAAAGAATCCAAAAATGGGCAGAAGACCTAGATAGACATTTCTCCAAAGAAGATATACAGATTGCCAACAAACACATGAAAGGATGCTCAACAACACTAATCATTAGAGAAATGCAAATCAAAACTACAAATGAGGTACCACCTCACACCAGTCAGAATCATCAAAAAATCTACAAACAATAAATGCTGAAGAGGGTGTAGAGAAAAGGGAACCCTCTTGCACTGTTGGTGAGAATGTAAGTTGATACAGCCACTATGGAGAACAGTATGGAGGTTCTTAAAAAACTAAAAGTAGACCTACCAGATGCCCCAGCAATCCCACTACTGGGCATATACCCTGAGAAAACCATAATTCAAAAAGAGTCACGTCCTACAATGTTCACTGCAGCTCTATTTACAACAGCCAGGACATGGAAGCAACCTAAGTGTCCATCGACAGATGAATGGATAAAGATGTGGCACATATATACAATGGAGTATTACTCGGCCATAAAAAGAAATGAAATTGAGTTATTTGTAGCGAGGTGGATGGACCTAGAGTCTGTCATACAGAGTGAAGTAAGTCAGAAAGAGAAAAACATATACCGTATGCTAACACATATATATGGAATCTAAAAAAAAAAATAGTTCTGATGAACCTAGGGGCAGGACAGGAATAAAGACACAGACGTAAAGAAGGGACTAGAGGACACGGGGAGGGGGAAGGGTAAGCTGGGACGAAGTGAGAGAGTGGCATGGACATACATACACTACCAAATGTAAAACAGATAGCTAGTGGGAAACAGCCGCATAGCACAGGGAGATCAGCTCGGTGCTTTGTGACCGCCTAGAGGGATGGGATAAGGAGGGTGGGAGGAAGATGCAAGAGGGAGAGGATATGGGGATATATGTATACATATAGCTGATTCACTTTGTTATACAGCAGAAACGAACACAACACTGTAAAGCAATTATACTCCAATAAAGCTGTTAAAAAAAGAAACCTAACTGATGCATTTCTTCTCTTTTATCCTTAAAATATGTTATTTCAAAATATTAGCACTTTGTCTATTGATATTTTGTTCTTAACATAGGACATTCTATATAAAACTGATCTTTTAACATAGTATTTTTAAAGAATTATCAAAATACCACTCTACTTACTTGTATTTTCAGACTTGAGCATTTTAATTTCTTCTGTTTTCAGTTTCAAAGTTTCTTTGAGGACTGCATTTTCACAGTTTAGCCTGGAAAAAAGTACCCTCCAAGTAACTAAAACATTAATACTTTGTAGGTGAATGAGAATATTTAACCCCATAATTAGAACACGAAAACCCTAATATAATTTTTCTTACATCAAAACAGTCTAGAATTTATATATGTAATAAAATAAAAATTTAAAGGAGTGTGGTTAGACTTTGAACTTACTCTTAACCCTTCTGTATACTTAGCTGAGAAAGTATCAGAACCAGAAATACCTCTAAGTCATCTATTTTGAACATTCATTCTCTTTACTAAAGTTTCAATCAAGTTAATAACCATTTGAACACCAACTACATGCTTAGGTCACCTTCCAAAATTTGCATAAAAAGATACATAGGGAGGTACAAACTTCCAGTTGTAAAATAAATAAGTCCTGGGGATGCAATGTACAGCATGAAGCCTGTAGCTAACAATTATTGTACAGTATTTGAAAGCTGCTAAGAGAGTAGACCTTAAAAGTTCTCAACATAAGAAAAAAACTGTAATGATGTACGGCAATGGATATTAACTAGATTTATTGTGATGATCATTTTGCAACATATACAAATATCAAATCATTATATTGTACACCTGAAACTAATACACTGTTATATGTCAATTATACCTCAATTCAAGAAAAAGATACATAGGGAGCCTTATCTATTGAATGAAAATTGGAATTACTTACAAGAGTTCCTAAATTGCCCAGCATCAGGACTTCCCTGGTGGCGCAGTGGTTAAGAATCCTCCTGCCAATGCAGGGGACACGGGTTCGAGCCCTGGTCCGGGAAGATCCCACGTGCCGCAGAGCAACTAAGCCCACAAGCCACAGCTACTGAGTCCGCGTGCCACAACTAGTGAGCGCGCGTGCCACAACTACTGAAGCCCGCATGCCTAGAGCCCGTGCTCCGCAACAAGAAAAGCCACTGCAATGAGAAGCCCATGCACCACAACGAATAGTCCCCACTCTCAGCAACTAGAGAAAGCCTGCACGCAGCAATGAAGACCCAACACAGCCAAAAATAAGTAAATAAATAAATTTATAAAGGAAAAAAAAAAGGTGCTTTATTCCTCAAGGGCTATAGACATTGCTTGAGAAACTGATTTCACGTTTTATTAATTTGTAGGTAATTCATGGAATGGGAATGTCTTAGATTTACATTTCTTGTTTTTTAGATATAACTGACATATTACATTAGTTCAGGTGTACAACACGACTCAACACCTGTACATATCACAAAATGTTCACCACAATACAGTCAACATGCATCACATACATGGATACAGATTTTTTTTTCTTGTGATGTGAACCACATTTCACTTTTAATTGAGAAACTTTAACTTCATGACTACCGTTTTACTGATACGAGGCCTGTCCCAAGCACAGCGTGTAATATTCCCTAGGAATATCACGTCTTGATAGGTATTTTATTTAAAGTTATAAATTAGACCAGATGATCTGGTGACCGTTTTTAATTACAATTCAGGCTAAATTTAATTCAGGCTAAAAACAAAACTGTAAACAAATATGGAACTCTAGTTAATGGGTTTGATTTTACAATGGTATGTATTAGCATTTCTAAAGTTACTTTCCGTATAGTCTATGGTGGAACAAATAAGTAAACATACAGGGTAACTGGAGCCAGGTTTCTCCTTGTGGGACTTACAGATGCAGAGAGGGGCAAGGCTAAGATGAACCCTGTGGTGGTGTTCTGCAACTGGAGATATGAGTATGATCTCATTGATATGTGACAGATACATACATACATAAATGATAAAGAGACAGGTAGATAGATGATAAATCGATGACATAGAAAGATAGATAGATAGATGTATATATATGTGTGTCTGCATCTGTGTATTTTCCAACTCTGTCCTCTGAGAGGAACTTCACGCAGTGAATCCTCAGTAGTAATGAGCACACCTAGCACTCAGATCTTGATTTCTAAACACCATTCCCCATTAAAAGGAACTGCTTGCTGCTTGAAGAAATACCTAATACTGTAGGCATACTGGCCTAGAATATCTTGTACCAGGAAGCAAGAAAGTGCTCAAAGAAAAATAGATGTCAAAAAGTCACAGGAACACCTGTGCTTGATGGGGCTCCCACTGACCGAAGTTGGAAAACTTTAAGCAACAAAAGAAATTATGGTAGTAATAGCTTTTAACCCACTGAATAATGCAAGAATCCTTGAATCCGTATTGGTATAAACAAACAAATGAGAAGGAAAAACTCTTGTTTACAGTAAAATGCCAACATACAAATGTAGAAAGAATAAGGGAATTAGAAAATTACCATTTGGCAACCACTGTAGTAATAATTGCTTCAGGTAGAATATCAGTGGATATAAAAACGAGTGGGTGAAAAGTCTGATGAGTCACAGCATATTTACATAATTTTCAAGTATCTCTCCACAAGATGCTTATTAATTACAAGGGGAAAAATAGTGACTTAATAGTGGAGAATGAGGGCAGACACCATACCTTAACCAAGTGATCAAGATTCACATCTGAGGAATAGGACAAATCAGCACCACATGCCTCCTGATATGATGGACTAAGAATACATTGCTTCAGTGGTAATATTGCCCAAAATGCATAACCCAATTCAAGCCAGAAGCATCAGATACCCTCATTGTAGGATATTCTATAAAATAATGGGCCTGTCCACCTCAAAAAAAATGTAAAGGTTATAAAAGATAAACAATGGGCTTCCCTGGTGGCGCAGTGCTTGAGAGTCCGCCTGCCGATGCAGGAGACGCGGGTTGGGGCC